GAGCGGTTCCGGAATCACTAGGAATTCCGCGGAATTGCTTCCGAATCGTTGCGATTCCGGATCCGTACGATACGCGGAATTCCGTCCCGGAATTACATCCAGTTGTAAGCCTCAGCCGATGACTGTGATGTCAAAGCTGAGCGTTTCCGAAATCACTAGGAATTCCGCGGAATTTCTTCCAAATGGTTGCGATTCCGGATCCGTGAGATACCCGGAATTAGATGCAGTTATAAGCCTCAGGAGATGAGAGTGATGCCAATGCTGAGCGATTCCGGTACGGGAACTGATTCCGGAATGTTCAACATCGCGGAATGGGATGTATTCTCCTTAATGTCATGTATCACGAATTCCAATCGTGAAATATGTGTAGGAACTATACGTAACTTCATTCTAAGAGACAAATCTCAAATCCATGGGGTCCAGAAAAACTTCTCTATACGTTCTCGGTTTTTTCCTGATGATATCTTTAATAGCTCTCATTTCATTCAATGAACAATGAAAAGATGCAAAAAAAGTATCCATTACAAACCGTCGATTAACATCCATCTCTTTTTTCTTTTCTTTAAACAAAAAGTATTTATGCAGAGGCTCTCATCGCCGCAAAAATGAATGAGTATATTTTTTTCGCTTTTGTAAAATTTGTTTGCAGTATTATTTTTTCTTCGTGTGATGAAATGCTCTTTGTGTTTCGGTTTCTTTTTCATTGAATGTTTTTCTTTTTACGATTAAATATTCATGAGAATGAATGTTTTTTTTAATAAACGTATGTTTGAAGTGAATTTCTTTTCGCTAGTATATTGCTGCAGTGAGCGAAAACTTTATTGTGCTTCAGTCTTTTTTTTGTTAAATTATTTTCAACATCCGTATTTTAAGGAATTCTTTCTTTCGTATCCTTTTTTCTGCCTATCATTCTTACAAATGAGTAGAAGTGACCGAGCTCTTCATCACTACACAATGTCTTGCTTTGCTTCTTCGCTTCTTCATTGGGATTTGTTGACGTTTTAACATTAGCTTCTGGTTTGTTTTCATATTTGTCTGCTGCCACCTTCTTTGTGCGTATCAATTATCTAATCCAACCAATATGCACCATATACACTGTGCTCATGCTTTTGATTCACATTTCCAAATGTACGAGAAGAATAAAGACAGAAATAAACGTGCCTAGTTAATGCCAGAATCATCGACATTGTTTTCGCTCACGAGAATCGATTACTGAAACATATGTACAAATCTTCATTCTTTCCATAAACAAAAAAAAATAAAGTTTTTTGTATGTCATTTTATTCATCGATTCTAACGTCAATCAACAACTTGTCTTTATATACTCGTAAACATCGAACGACGTTCGTCTGAATACGCCACTTATTTCATGAAAGATAAAGAAGAAATTGAGAATTTTACACGCAGATAATTGCTCGTAGTATACTTCAGTTATTTTTATAGGAACAAATAGCTACTCTGAATGTATTTCGCTGATTAGAACAACGAAAACAGACACAATACACATGATGCATGATCACATTATTAACAGCATTATCTCGGAGCTAGAGACATGTGCGACCATGATTTTTTAGTCACGATCACAAACTATGTGATCAAGATCACGTAACGGATACGCCTAACCATGACCAATTTGCAGGTCTCTAATCGAAGCTCCAAGAGACCAAATGTAAGCCAAGCTATTTTTATCAAGACTTACCTATCCTGACATCAGACAAAGCGGGTGTGGATGGAATGTGAATGTGGGTGAAGAGAGGATCAAACTCACACCCGGATCGACGATCGAGCATAGTCCGAGATTCGAAGCATATACCATGCAGCTTATGACATGTTAGTTCGGTTGACAGATAGGGATTGATTCATAACTTCGCAAAGGAGCGTGGGTTTGAAATGAAAGTTTTTCTGAAAAAAAGAGAGGAGTCGAGCTTTATAAGAATGAGTCGAATATCTCAAGATCTCTTTTGTAGCTTGCGATAATGTAGCATTGAGGTTGATCTTCTGTCTCAGCCTTGATAAAGAGAAAGAACTACAGTTGGTACCTGCGATCAGGCTTTATCAAGCAGTACTTGCAGTAGAAAACGATAGCTGTAGTCTTTCATTTACCAAAACGTATGCTTCACTTATTTTTCTCTCGGAAACCATACAATCTTGCTGCACAAACATGGTTTTATCAGAAGTAAATCAAAGTTGGAAAAATTCGTTACAAAAAATACAAAATATTCTTTTCTGTTTTCGCATTCATAAGCAACTCTGCCAAACGAGTAGCGGTAGCTCAGGTGCTCATTATCTTTCGTTCACTGGCATGGAATCTTCGTAATATTATCTGATGTTATTCGGTTGATGTAAGCACTGTCGATCTGGTTTTAATCGTTTACGCCGTCCTTGATTTTTTACTCCCGTTGCATCAATTCATTACATCCATAATATTTCATGTTTGACTTTTGCACAAGGCCATTCCATGATTTTATACTTTTAATAAACAATGTCTTTCGAAGTCAAACATATCTATGATTCCTGACTACGATAAAAAGAACTTTTGCTCATTCGATCGCTTTCATCATATTGACAGTGAGTGAAATAGACGTCAGAGTGTGGATTATCTTTTCACCTTCACCCATTGTCCAGACTCTCTACTGGCACGAATTCTTTGTTATCATTTCATAATTTTAGAAACGACCACAAGGATATATTCGAAGGTTTTTGGCTGTATCGACAAAACGTGTCTTGGACTTTGCACAATCAACTTCTCTTGCTTATTCTCGACTAATAAACGCAAAGACGTCCTTCCCAGCCCCAGAATATCACAAAGTTGCTTGAGTCTACACTAAAATGCCTTCAGTAACTGAACTATAAACCATCATCAATTCAGATGGAGACACAATGGTTAGCATATACTTTTCTTGTGCTACATTAATTTACTGAGATATCCGACAGAAACCAAAAAACTCGAAATTGAAGATTTGAATCTTTACAAAGCAGTAGTACATTCATTTCAGTTGCCATAAAGACACAATAATATTACTTCTTGTCTATCTTCCGACCTTTTTTTGAAGTGTATATGAGCAACTAATTGGAAATAAGCAAATCTCCTCTAACCATATATCTTTCTGATCATTTTTTCATTGGCTACCTCAGTCTTTCTGTTTGATCCTTAATCGGCATACACATTTTATTCTTGATGTCAATAGAAGTGAAAATAGTTAGATAGATGAGAAATGAGTTGATCATTAACACAAGTACGAAAACATCAGCGACAACACATTGCTTAATTAGATGGATGCAGTTTGAAATTTAAAACTTCACCACAGATTTGATCATCAATCAGTGTCACCTAAATAAGGAAAGTTCATGGAGTTTAGCGAACTTCAGAATAAAAAACTAAAAAATCATTCTATTGAGCGTTACCATATCGACTTTTCAGTTCTTATTTTACGAATCTATCGGCATTAACGTCATGTGGCCATATTTGTTGCTTTCGTCTCTTCCACACGGTAGACAGTTCATATCATCATGATTTCATTAGGATGCCACGAAAGTGGCCCTTCGTAGAGAAGATATAAAAGATCTGCTTAAAGAATCTACTGGCAACCAACGAAAATTGAAGGAAAAAGCTCACACTCATGCTGTACTTGAAGGAAATCAACTTCGACAACGTGAAAAAAAACAATAAGAAAGATAGTTGGCAGTCATTCTGCCTGCTAATTATTATAGTGTATTGTGAATATATATCTCCAGTTTCCAAGATGCACTCTTGGATATGGAGCAAAATATAAGGGTACATTCTGAATGGACTTTTGCCATATTCATGACAGGAAGATTTGGAGTGATTGGCATGTTTTTGTTTCTGCGCATTCATAAAACATGTGGTTATTTTGCATGCTTGTGTGAATATTCGAAACCGCATAGGAACCGTTACTTTAAGACTATGCGGGCAAGTTCACCTATAGAGCAGATAATGGATATGGAAAAACTTTGTGTATCAATGGACTATTTGTTGAAGGACAATATGTTAACGGCAAGAGATGTGGACCAATGAAAATTACATCACCTAGGAGCAAAGTAGCTTGTGCCAATACTGAATTACGAGTTATCGGTTCTTGAAAACTAAACTGCCTTTGCTAGCGTTGTTTCAAAGCCTAATCAGGATTATCTCTACCAAGATATCATTGATTTAAACGTGGCCAAAAAATAATTTGATCCAATATTTTTCTTATCTAAAAATAATAAAATCAAAATAAAAGATTTTTTTACTTGATTACCATTGAAATTTACCTCATCAGCTTGAAATTTTTGGCGTATTCGAATAGTTTCAAGGTCTTTTTCAGTTGAATAAGTAATTGAAATAAATAGACAAACATGATACAAGTCCATTAGTTCTTGTTCATCATGACATGTTTGTTTATTATATACTTAAAATAAAACGAAAAGTATAAATATAAAGTGTGGGTGGATGTTGCTGTTCTCTTCGCCTAAACTCACCTTTACCTACACCTCTATGTGTTTGTGTTGTCGTATGGGTTCGTTCTTCCGTAGCACCCACATCTGATACGATGCCCTGCATGTTGCCATGAGAATAAAGTTCGAGAAGATCAAACGATGTATATGAATAGTACAAAATATACAAAGATATAAATGAGAATCGATTTAATTGATTCTTTGTTTATTTCAGGTAAAATTATACAACAGTGCGAGCAATATTGTTCATCACTCAGACACTGGTCTAATATCTCTACACTTATAATATCTGCGAAACATTGAATAACTATTGTATCTCTAAATATCTTTTTATAAATTATGTACATATCACTATATCAACTTGAGAATATGTCGGAGATATTAGAGATGCAGTGATATAAGAGTATATCTCCTTTTTGTCCAATATGTCCTCTATCTCTCCAATATCTCTTATATCTTTATAACTTCTATTCCATCAATATTTTCTGTAATGAGACTTAATTGAGTCCCCGTGGATACCCATAGAAGATTTGACGCATACGATCAAACATAATGTGTTCGAAAAGATCAATGAGAAGGTACGATGGTATTTTGCAAGTATTATTCCTGTATTAAATCCTTTCTTTTCTCCTACACAAATGAGAAAGACAAAGTATCTTTTAAAAAAAAAAATCTTCAAAACAATCTTTTTCGAGATAAAAATCATAAAGTGAAATACCTATGAGATTAAGAGGTGAATGAGAATGAAAGTACTTTAATCATAGTGGAAAAACCTTTCTATGCCCACCATAGCTGGTAGGAAGTAAACGTTCTTGCCAAATAATTCAATAGTGACATGTAATTGTATTTCACAATTGCAAAATACATTACACTCACTTTTATAGTCAATGAGGATCCTCTATTTATTGATGACGACATCTGATAAAGTCCAAGGAGTGGCATATCGAAGAGTCTTGCACAATCTCCAACAAAGGTCAAAATACCAAAGACTGATATGCCAAGAAGCTGAAATTCACAGAGATTCAAATTAGTGGATCAACATATGTCATATTTTATGATTATTTAGAAAGTTTTCCAATTTATTTGTTCCAAAATACGAGCGATGTTCATTAGAGATCGACCCATTCGTCCCTATAGTCTAGCTTTTGAGAACGCTTATTCAGTGAATATGTATATGATTTTGGTGTTCATATGAGTGATAATTTGTGAAGGTCACTTTAAGGTAATGTTGAATTGCAAGAAATATGTCATTCAAGGTCAATTCTAAGCTTCTTAATTTTCTTTTTCTTCGGATAAATCCAAGCTGACATAGAAGAATACCTTCACTCTAAGCTATGACATACAGACTCATCTTTCGCCACAATCTCAATGCCGATACTACCACACTGCCTCAACTTATTCGACAAATCCTTCGAGCAACGCTGATTGTGTATTGTACAATTGTATCATTAAACCATGATGTTGAGTCTTACTTTCGTTGATCAGTCAGTCGAACTTGGTCGCTTGTATGATTTCTATTTCATAGCGGATATGGGTGCGAATGTGAGTCTTCTCTTCATCCACACTCACGTCCCACTCAAATGAAACTTGATCAGTTCGTCAGAATTCGCATCCATTGGATTTGGATCGATGGCCAATAGATGTATATGGTTGCTGATAAAAAGCTCGATATTTATATCATTATCGGTCTTCAAATAACATTTACTATTTCATTTATTATTTTTGTATTAGATCTTGTGGAAAAAGCCATAACTTCGAGTCCCTCCACTAGGATCCATACTATTAAATCTGTATATACTGAAGAGATTGTATGTGCAGTCATTTAAAATATAGGACTATACTCAAGACACCCAGGTCAATCAAAAGATGGTCAGTAAAGTAAAAACTATCGTAGAATAATTCTTAAAATTGAATCAATTAGTCTTAGGAATTGTTGTTTTAATTACGATAGTTTCTATCGGTGAATCGTTGCTTTTTTGTTAATAGATGGCAGTACGTATCACACAGTCCATGGGCTCAGGTAGTCTACAGCAATTTTTATAATATACAATTAAAATGGAACTTTATTATGCCGCTTCGACAATTGAAATAAATAGAAAAGTTCGATTTTAAAGAAGTTGAGTGGTATATTGCAGTCAATTATATGAGAGAGGGGGGGAGCAAAAAAAAATTTCTCCCACAACAATTGTGAAAATGTCTCAACTACGAGGATTTTATTACCTTTGAACCTGTTGTTTTTTAATATAATTCTATAAAACTTTGATATTGATCGTTTCAACTGAATTTTCTATAATGCGGCAAATCAAATTATTTTTAATTTCTCTGTATAATGTGAACACACTAATTATTTGAGGGTAGAAAGTGCAGCAGCATGGATTAGTCGTATTTGGATTGAATTTAAAGTTTGATACCAATAAAACTCGTAAACATACGGAAAATAAAAGAATATGTATGATTATTGATTATTTTTAAGGTTTTTTCACCAGCCAAATACAATCAATGGTAATTTTGTATCGCTTTCAATAACTGTTTTAAAAAAAACAAATTAAATAATATACAACATAATAAAATTGCTTTTCACTGTCAAGTATTGAAGATAATGCGATAGTTGATAAACTAATCCAAGTTAGAATGCTTACAATAACACACCCACATGATCCTATGGCATTCTTCCATGTATGGTTGAAAAATCATCATCCATTACTATTACACATATTTAAATGATCATAGACTCGATCCATCAAATTGAATAACAAATAAACAACTACATTCGTTTTGCACAATATAAAAATCAACTGAACTGGTTACGTATTTATAGGAATATTGGGTGAGTGATTCAATCATCTACTTTTTAATCTTAGTATTTATTTTATTTATGTATATTATGAAAGATGTATTTTTTAGTTGTATATGAGAAAAATAAAAATAATTCAATTGGTTTTTAAGCTTACACTCATCAAACTATTTTCATATATAAACTATCACATAGCATTGATTTTCTTCATAAAAAGACATAACCAACACTAGATCTATTAGTTGTTATAAATTTGAGTCACATTGAAAGTGATACAGAAAATAACTGCAAAGCATTTTTTTTTATTATGAGTGAATACAATGCATAAAATTTAAAATCTGACTCGTGCGTCGTTATTGACTAATTTGGACAATCAAAAACTAAAAGTATATTTTATATAGATTTTCTTAATCTTTTCCAATATAATAAAAAGCATACGATATTGACTATTTCACAGATTGTCCTTTTGATACAAGCTTTGATTTGTTATATCTTCATATTGTTCACAGAGAAAAGAAACTTTTTTGAACTATTAACTGTAACAGTTTTTTTTACTTAATCAAAAAGAACGAATATTCGCATTTGGTCAAAGAAGTGAAGCGAGAAAAGGAAGACCAAAACATATAAAGAAAGCACCAAGCGCGCATTTACAGAAAATCGAGAGAATAATTCATTGTACACACAGAACAATTGATAATAAATAAAAAGGCAAAAAAAACAAAACAAAACAAAACATTTGACTGAGCCATAAAAATAGGAAAAAGAAATTGAATATACCATCCATCTGCTCGAAACAATGTTAATTAACGTCTCAATCGAAGAAATGGATCTATTGTTCGATTCAATAATGCATTATCGATTTGTCTATCGAATATGAATCGACTACATCGTTCACGTTTGAAAAAGTTATTACCATTTGTCATATATTGAGCATAACGACGGCGAAGTATAGGATTTAATGATAAGAGACGAAGTGTATTAAAGAACATTTGACGCGACGGATAAAGCTCAGAGATAAGTTTCAAATAGGGACCATCTGAATTTTGACGAAATGTGCACGCAAGATTATCTACCGTGATATTTAACTGAAAAAAAACCTTAATTTTAAAGAGCATAAACTTTAAAATATATTAATATACTTTTGGCACTATTTTTCCTTGTTCATTCATACATAACCATACGCTAGATATATGATTTTGAATTTGAACACGACTGTAGGCACCCACTGATCGAAAGCCAAAAATAGCTATAATTAATTTTATTTAAAAATGTTTGAAAACTTCAATTGAAAAAAAAAGTGATTTACTTGAAGGATCTTGTCGATTTTGAACAACAGTACGATAAGGTTTTGTTTTGGAAAATCGAAGATAGAGAGATCCAGGTAAAATATTACAATGGAAGACAATTCGATAGTAACGTATTGTTGCCAATTGAGAACCGTCTGGTTGTCGATGCAAAAAACTGACTAATGATGGTCGATAATGATGATTTTCGTCAAATTTATATTGAATATAGGACGACAAATGCTCTTTTTCAACAGATAATATGGGTGCAGACAAGGAAAACAGTGGCTATATAGGAAAATAAAAAACATATTACAAATTTAATTTGAGAGTACTAAACAAACTTCAATAAAAAAAAAAAGTACGATATAATAAAAATATTCAATGATTTTTCTATCGGCTTTTTATATGGTTTTTTTTTCACGAATTATTCAGAGATATTTTCATTAACATTTTTCAATTCTTTACTTATGTTATGTTATGTTATATTCTTTCTTTTTGTGTGGTATGATCTTCATTCTTTTTCTTATTGCTACTTTTTTTCAATGATTCGCAACCATCATTATCAAGACTAAACATCTATTACATTTGTATAAGTATGATGCAACTCTGTTTTGCATTTAATGTAACAAATGGAACTAGTTGAGAACAATTGAATGAAATATGAACTTTTGTTTTTATTAATAAATTCAATCAGTGAATTGAACGATTGAGAAAGATTCGGAATAAAATTACCCTGCTGATGTAACTTAAATTTTATGAAGTACTTATTATCATTGATATAATAATATATTGTTTACGATCGTAATCATTTTCTTTCCATCATCAATAACCAAGTAAAGAATAAGAAAAATATGACTGCTTTCATGAAAGTCATTTTTCTACTATGTCTTAAAACAACAACATTAATAACATCATCATATTGTATATATTCAAAACATATTCCTGTTACTTGTGAATACCACATCTTGAGAGAGAATGGGTAATGCATACAAACACACGCACATTCTTCGCATAGTGTTCTTAGTC